TAGGCCTGGAGAGGTGGCTCATGTCTGTAATACCAATTACTCAGAAGGCTGAGGCAGGAGGATCATGAGTTTGAGGCCAGCCTGGAAAATTTAGCACTACACTATTGTTACCAGATGCTGAGGTGCCCAGAAGTCCTTTCTGGACTCTTGTCCTGTTCAGTGAACTGAGTGGGACAACTGAGGAATGTAAAAGTTTAACATTTAGTAAAGGTAAAAGAGTAAGAAAAAGAAGGGCTCTGAAGAAAAAAAGAGAAGAGAAAATACACCCTGTGTGTATGGCAGGCCACTGGAAGAGCAAGAAAACCATGGCCATGAGGCCAGTGACTGCTGATGTCAGGTCCAGGCCATCCTATGCAGGGCTTTAAAGCTGCACTGCACACGCATCTCATTCTCTGTAATTGACAGGTCGTGCCCAATTGCCTTGCCGGTTTACCATGCCTTAATCTCATGCCTCATTTCCCCCTGAGAGACATAAATTCCCATAATTCTCTATGGGCTGCTGGGGGAGTGTAGGTCTGTGTCTTCATGTAGCTACTTCTTGCTGGAAGGGGCTGTAGGCCCTACTTACTAGGGATTACGTGCTCACTATCTTAGGATGTTGTGGTTTACCAGTCTTCCTTATCAAAGTGAGAGGTGAGAAAACCTGTCAGAAGATAAGGAGAAAAGAGTTCGTGTCTATATGCGGAGCCTGTTCAATGGTAGAAATCTTGGTGAATTTGTGAGGAGGGTAACTTTACTATTAAGATGGGGATACAGAGCCCAAATATGAGGGATATTAGATAGACTGCCGGTGCTACCAGTGCCTATTTATAGTGACTATCTCTGCTGGGAGCAGAACTGGAGTCTTGCTTTTTGAAGAGGAGCCTCAGATCTTTCAGAGGTTCACAGGAGTAGTCTTAGTCCTGTGCAAATTTGAGTGAACATTTCCCATGTAGGGTTTTCTAGAGCTTGTCACTGTGTCCCTTGAGTTAGGACCAGCTTGATGTTTCCCCAGGAACTAGGACTAAGGATACAGTCTTGAGGGGCTGTAAAGCTGCCCTTCTTGCTGCCCTATCAGGCTTTAAATGTCCCAAAGAGACTTTATACTTTTTTTTTGAGACAGGTCTCGCTATGTAGGTCAGGCTGGCCTGAACTCACTATGTAGCCCCGGCTGGCCTTGAACTTGCAGTGATCCTCCTGCCTCAGCCTCCCAAGTGCTAGGAGTACAGGCATGTACCACCACACCTGGCCCAAAGAGACTTTAGACATGTCTCTTTGGTGTCTTTTGCAATGAATGATAGTGACCTGCCTGGAAGGTCTGGCTGCCTGGGAAGATAGACTGCCTCTAGGAGGTGTACTGTTTAGTAGTCACAGTCCCTTTCTTATTGCTGTGTGAGCAGATAGCAACAGACCCTTGAACTGTCACATCACAGTAGGAGTAAAGAAGTTCTGACCAGGGTCCCCCTTAACCCCAATTATGGCTATAGATCTGCAGGAGGATTTTCCAGAGGAGGAAGTTGCAACAAAGTAATTGAATTTGCTTACTCACGGCTTCTGGTCACCTGCAGGTTTTTTTTTTTTTACAGGAGATGGAGATGTCCATGGACAGGGGCATAGTAGAATAGTAGATTGCACCAGGCCCCTTCAGGCCTCCTTATCAGAGTGAGAGGTGAGGATCTGGGCTGACCTACCTCCTCTCTGGGAACAGAGACGGGCGATCCTTCAGTGCCATGAATCAGGCACATCGGCCATCTGGCACACGGAGCAGTGTCCAGGCGTTGGCTCAGTTGAGTACCCAGTGTCTAGTTTCTTTGCATTTAAAGCAGGCCTCGGCTAGATGTGGTGGCACACACCTGTAATCCCAGCACTCAGGAGGCTGAAGCAGGAGGATCGCTGTGAGTTTGAGGCCAGCCTGGGCTGCCTAAGCAAGTTCAAGGCCAGCCTGCACCATATAGTGAGACCTTGCCTCAAAAAAAAAAAAGTAAAGCCCAAAGATAAAGCAGGCCTGGGTTGACCCTGGGTGTTCCCTTGGACAACTTAGGTGTACATGAAGCATTAGCCATCATGACAGCCATCGTTTTGGTCTGTCCTTTTTTTTTTCTCAACCCTTCTCTTTGGGTCTTCCTCTACATTCTGATTACTGGGAAAAGAAAAGGCCATGTCCAGCAGTTGGGTCATAGGGGCCCGGAGGCCCATTTGCAAGCCTACCAGATCTTCTAAAAATACTGAGTCTTTCTGGGGCACAGGGCTCTGGTGGAAACAGGTGGGAGAGACCAGGTGGGCATCTGAGAACAGGATCATCGACAATACCAACGTCTTTTTTCTCAGAGGCTTCTTTAAGTACCATAGTTTCTGGGATTTTTTTAAAGGTAAAGAGCCATAAAAGCTTGAACATAAGGGATTTTGCATTACCTCGTATACCTTTTGCCGAAGCAATTTAACTGAAAAGTAGTATCGTAA